TTACACACTGGCTCTGCGTTATCTCCTCTCCTATTCTCCTGGCTCCTCCACGCCAAAGCTCTAGCACTGATGTGCGGCGCAGAACCAGGTACGACAACGTGTGTCTTTCACTTGGATTTTTTTTTTTAATTTTTTAATATTTATTATTTTTTTAGTTTTCGGCGGACACAACATGTTTTTATGTGGTGCTGAGGGTCGAACCCGGGCCGCACGCTTGTCAGGCGAGCGCACTACCACTTGAGCCACATCCCCAGCCCCTTCATTTGGATTTTAATTAATTGAAATAAAATAAAATAAAATATAACATTTAGCTCATCTGCTCATTAGCCACACTTCTGTTACTCAAATAGCCATGCTGGACAGTGCAGACCGAACATGGCCCAGGACGATTCTCCAGGGGAGTGTGGCCCTGGAGTATCGTGCCAGCAGACCAGGGGTGGGACTGCCCATGTAGTGGCTGACACATGATGGATATGTAATAAATATCTGCTGAATGAATAAATATTGTTCTTAGATTATAGTGGCCTTGTAGGCTAAATGCAATCTATTCTATGTTTGGGGCCACATTTCAGATCTTCCACAGCATTTTCTTGGCCTATAATTAGATCCAATTGAATGAGCCTTAGTCTTCTCTCAAAGGGCTCTGTGACCCTGGATCAGCTAACTGACTTCTTGGAAGACGTCTCCAGAGGGCTCGTCATCTGGCCCAGCAGATGGCCTCCCAGGCCTGTGCAGTCTCTCCCCCACCGCTGACCCCTCTACCCTCGCCTCCCTGCCCCCTCTCTGCTGAGGCTACTGGGCTTGTCCCTGTTCACTCACGCAGGCTGTGCTGCTGGGGACAGCTTCCACCATTCTCTGGTGCAACCCCTTCTCTTGGGCCTGGGCCTTGCACGCAGCAGTTGATACAACACACAGGGAGCTGGCGTTTGGGTGCTGACTGCTGGAAGGAGGCTGGGCTCTTCTCACAGAGACAGATGGGAAGGGAACACCAGGTCACGGGCGTAGCACTGTCTGATTCACACCTGGGCAGCTCTTGTCCAAACCTACTTCCCCACAGAAATGGTGGAGTAGTTGGGCTGCTGCAGCTCCTGGGCTCAGGGGGAGCCAGGGCACCTTGGCTCCAAAGTCCCACTAAAATAACCCCCCAGTCTGGAAAGCGGGTGAGTCCCGTGTAGACAGGGTCGTCGCCCGGAAGCCAGGGGGCGTATCTGCTACTGCTGAACGATTCTTTGTCCTTTCTGGGCCATGCTGGTGTGTTACACGTCGGTGACGACTTCTGCTGAGAATGCTGCGTGCCTCTCGGAAGTGTCTGCCTGGACACTGGCCACTGGTGTGAACAGAGGCGTGCCGCAGCAGCACCTCTCCAAACCACCCGACAGGCCCCTAGGGCCATGGGAACCAGCCATGTCACACTCTGAGCTGCACCGTCTACGCAGCCCCGTGGGCGCTAGGGTTTCCAGGTCTATTCTGAGGCACTTCAAAGAGGAATTCCGTTTATTGTGAACTCCTGTTTACCCACAGGGCAGGCAAGATTTACGATCGGGACCCAGGAGAGCACACTGCCCAGTGACTGCAGCCCACCTTGGAGAGGAGGCTTGCCAGTTGCTGGGGGTCCGTCTCTGCCCATGCCCCCCTCCTTCCTAACCCCGAGGTTGGCAGTCTTCTTTCGTCTTGGGCTCGCTAGCCCTGAGCCTACAGCCAGAGCCAAAGAACACATTTCTCACCTCCCATCCACCCATCTCCACCCACCTGCAAGACACAGGCCGAGGCCCACCTACACAAGACTCCTGAGTAAAATTCCAACATGTGGGTTTTGTTCAGACCTCTGCCACAATCTGGGTGTGAGACCACGCAGGCCCTCCGCCTCCTGACCCGAGTGGGAGTCACACTGTGTCTCCCAGCTCTGACCAGCTCTGTGGCTGGCTGGAACTATCTGGGGGCTTGGTGGTTCTGCCCACAAGAAGCAACTCTCTCCCTGCCAGGAGAATCTGCAGCTTACCAACTATGGGTGCAAGATCAGGGTCCATACATTTTACACAAAGCTCATTCATTCGGTAACATGAGAATTCATTTGGAACTGGAATCCACAGTATGCTTGCGATTTCTGCTCAGAGTCCAAAAGTTATCCAGTAACATGCAGTTTCTGCTGTTGGCAGTCACCATGGTGAGGAGCACACTGGCGGGGTACCATGTCCATATAAGGTGGAGTTAGCCAAGGATGGGGGTGGAGGGCCTGCTGGGAGGCGTGTCATCGCGGCTACAGTAGCACCAGGGGGAGAATATATGGCAAGGGACCCCAGGGGAAGCTGTGGGAAAGAACAAACTATGCACGCAGCTCCCAGGACAGCAGACTCTGTCCAACTGCTATTTTTATGTATTACATTACTTAAAAAATACTATCAACCCCAAAGTAGGGCAGATGTGGCCCCGCTTTCTGCAAAAACACATCTGGATAAATCTGCGAGCCAATAAATGTTTAAACCACTTATCAATTCACAGTTGGTAATCAAATCCACCAAGTCTACAGTATTGAAATTGATGTGCATCTTAATAACTGCTTTGAAGAAGCAGCGGCCATCGTCCTGACAAGCACCTTCGGGGACAGGCGAGGTCTGTTGCTTCTCTCCCTCTGCTGGGTTTTCTCTCTCCTTCTACTGTCGGCTGTTTCTGTCATCTTACTGACCAGTGTGCACTGGCACCCAGAACTAACGGACTGCCTGGGGTGCTGACCAGTCCAACATCCCAACAACGTCTGTCCAGCCCCGTCGCAGGTGTGTCTGGTGCAGTGTCAGGCCACCTGAGTGCTTGGACAGGGAGGGTGAGCCATGGGGGAGCGGCACAGCGGGGATGGTGTCTTCCCTCCTGCACAAACTGCTCAGGGAGCAGCCACATTTTTACTTAAATCTGATCAGTGTTGACAACCTGCTGAATAGTGAGAGGGACTCCAAGCCCACCTGAGACTTGGACCACTAGCGCTATCAAATGAACCAGAGGATCAGCTTTAGACCTCACTAGACACAGCTGCTTCCTAGGCTGGGGACACTGGGCCATAACAAGGTTCCTGTGTCTGTGCCGTGAACTTGCTCAGAGACCTAGGGACCTTAGGGATCTCCTTCCAAAAACCTCTTTGAGAAGATCTGGGGCAGAGCGACAGAGTACACGGGCACGCTGGTGGCAGCGTTGTTGACATATCACAATTATGTGTCTTTATGAAGAACCAAGTTCTTGTAAAGGCAACATGGAAAATTCAGTCCTCGTTCTGCACTAGACAATCACAGGAAGTGAGAAAGAACAGAGCCCTCGGCTTCAGCCCTTGGGCCGAGTCCTGTCTGGCTGAGTACACAGAGGACACCGCGGCCCTCTCGAGCGACTCCACCCCACACGCCAGTCGCAGATGTTTGCACACTGCTGATTCATCTGCTTTGTGTCCATATAAGGCAGGGCCAGCCGAGTGCACGGGAGCGTCTGCAGCCAGGCGCTGTCTTCAGGGCCCTCTCACTGCTGGGAAAACCAATGGCAGGGGACCCGGGGCAGTCAAGACTCAAGAGACGGCAAATAGATATACATCTATCTCCTTGTTAAATGACAAATGACCTCATCTACAACTCTTTAAACAGGGAAGCCCCTCACTAAAGCTGAAGCTCACTGTCTACAAATGGCATCACCCCATGAACCCAGCCCATGAGATGGCTTTGACCCCAGGCCCAGCCCCAGGGTAATGACCAGGGGTCCTGGCCATAAATACCAGGGGTCATGTCTTGTGGGGGGGACTCAGGAGTGGAGATAGAACCTGACATGGCAGAATCCCACAGCCAGAGGCAGGAGTGGGCACGGCTACTTCAAACACTGCCTTCAGGACTCTGCCAGGGAGACTCACTGGGCACCCAGGACTGTAGTGATTTCTGGCAAAAATGGCACTGCAGGCAAGAATTCCTGACCACCTCCCACCACCTGGAAGTCACCAGGGATGCAGACAAGCAGGAATCCTGGGGACAGAGACACCAACTCTGTGGCATAAAGTGAAGTGCTACTCCCACACCTCCACATGCACAGTGGATCTGGCCATCTAAGCAGAAGGACTATCTTTAGAAACAAGTAAAGACTCAAACACCTGCTTCAGAGGCTACAGAGCAAGAAACCATCCTCTTCAATTAAGCACTGAACACATTAAACCCAACATAAGTCAAGAGTTCAAATTCTGCCAGGTGTTCTTGTAATAATTTGGGGTAGCTTTTTTTCCCTGCTTATCTGTGAAATGAGCTATACAAAGAGCATTCAGGGAATGAATAATTTTAAATTTAGAATAACTACCAATAGTATAAAGGCCAATGCTCTCTAGTTTGCATACCTACACTGCAGTACAAATGAAACTGTTTTCTCTTCCATAATATTTTTGCAAGGTATGTGTTTATGTAAAATCTAAGTACGAACATCATTGCGTTATGTGTATACATATGCCCATGTGTATACCTACAGGGCCTGCACTCCATGTTGGAAGAAGTTTCACAACTATGGATTTAATCAACCATGGAGTAAAAAAAATTTTTTTATAATATTGCATCTGTACTGCATCTGTACAGATTTTTCTTGACTTTATTTCCTAAATTGTACAGTATAACATCTATTTATGTGGCCTTTGGGTTTAAAAGTCATCTGGAATGATTTGAAGTGTAGGAGGATGTGTGTGGTTCCATGCAAATCCTATGCCACTTTACGTAAGGGACTTGAGCGTCAGCTTGAGACACCCAGTGGTGTCCTGGAACCCACCCCTGACACATGCTGAGGGAGGGCCTATATCTTAACAGTGAAGGAGAGAAAAGGAAAAGTGGTCTAAATGGGCCCAATTTGGCATTACGACTTGTGCTGGTGAAAGAGAACATTGTGGATTAAACTTCTCAGCAAGGCCAGCCACTGACTCATCCAGGTGAGTTGAGGCACTTTCGTTTCAACAGAAGTGTCAGGGAGGGTCAGGAGGTGTCTACGGCGACGCTCTGACTTACGCGTCCTCCTTTCTCCGGGTAGCACTGGCAGCCGCCGCTGCAGTCTCTCCCTCCGCAGGGCACATCGTACTTCTTTACACCCTGCAAAAGTCAAGCACAAAGAAAGTGACCTAAACTGTGTCATCTACAATATGGGTCACAGTACCAACTCTAAAACCAAGAATTCATTCAACATATTCAATAAGCATTTATCTAGGACAGTTTTAGGTGGGTTCACTGCAGAGCTGAGAGAAGGTAGAGCTCCGGTCCTCCTGCCGCCAGCAGGCCGGGCCTCCCCACCAGGCCCCCGGTGGTGGAATCAGTGAGTCTGTCTGGCACATCCCCACCCCCCAGGTCCCTGCTGCCTGGCTGTGGTCAATGGCCTTGCATGCCTTGAGAATGTTCCCCGAACCCAGGGAGTCCAGGAGAAATGCAGATGGACACTGCTCTGTGACTACACCACAGGTCAAGGGCTGGGGAGGAATGAGGAGCCCAGGAGCCCAGCTTGGAGGTACAGGGGTGCATCCTGGAGAAGCCAGAGTGAACTGAGAAAGAACAGGGGCGGGACCCAAGGCCAGGCTGCTCTGGGCCCACCAGCTCACGCGGAGCCTAGCGAGAGAAGGGAGGTGCCCTGTGAAGAGGCAGAAGGTGCACCTGGCAGGATGGAAACCCTGCACCACGGGCATCGCCTGTGACGCAGGTGTGGCCCACCTGCAGGGAGAGCCACCTCCGTCCCTCCTGCTCTGGGAGTCAGGCTGACCTGCAGGGAGGAGGAAGAGGCTGCCCCCAGGACCTGAGTCCTTGGGAGGCAGAACGGAAGCTCCTGCCGTGACTGCAACTCTGAAGTGGGTTCACTGGAGACAGAGGGGCTCCTGGCTGGCCTGTCCAGTGGGGAGAAGGGTTCCTCACCCTCCATTTCCACATAATGGATAAGAGAAGAACATGGAGCTCGACCATGGAGGGCCTTGGCTCTTCTAACTGCTGGCTGCCTCTGGCAGGAGGAGCGGCTTTACCTTCTTTCCTCCTGTTCTCCAAGTGGCCAAGCTGCAGCCCTGGCGCCCACTCCCCTCCCAGGGGAGCCCTGAGCCCTCCCCCTGGGTGAGATGCCACAGCTGCCCTCCAGCAGGTGAGACCCTACAGTCCTCTCCTCACAGGTGAGCTACACAGACCCCTCCCCCAGGTGAGCTGGTGCCGCCTGTCATCAGGGAGGATCTGAGGCTGGCTCTTCACGCTTGGCCACCCTTCAGCAACTCCTGATGTGCCCACAGGGCCCATGCAGCGGGCAGTTCCATGTAAGGGGCTCTGGACACCAGCAGCCCCTGTCAGTCCCTGGGCCAAAACTTGTTGTGCAAGCAAAGCCCCCGGCCAACAGGACTGTCCAGTGTCCAGCAGCACTCACATTGCCACAGTGTTTCCTTCCCCTCAGCCACACCTCAGTGACCCGGCAGGATGGGCACTGGGACTCCTCTAAGGTTTTTGTGACAGATCTGAGCCAGAATCCTCCCTGTTCCCACTGCTGTGGGCATGCACGTGGAGAGGCAGGTGGCGTGGCCACTGCCCCACTGCGGGTCCTGCCCAGCACAGACTCTAGCCACGGCCAACACTGGACATGCAGGACAAGCAAACGTCTGACTCAGAACCATCTGGCTGGCCAGCGTTGACCTCGGGCCTCCGCAGTCCCTCAAGGCTCTTTTTGTACAGACTGTCAAATCCTCTCCTGAGCTCACCGTTCCCTGCCGGAGACGCCTTGTTTGAGAGTCCCACATATTTTCTGTTCTTATAATAATTCTTACAATAATCTAGTGCCTGATGCATCAGTCACTGCTTTGAAGAATTCCAGAAAGTCTGAGCGTCTCAAATCCTTTAAAGAAACCAGTACCTCCTTTTAAATCTCTCTTTGGTTATCTTTTTGTCCCGTGTGAGGTAGTGAGACTTCTGGAGCTCCACAGTGTAAAAGTAAACACATATAAAACCCTTTTACGCCCTCAAAGGCGATTTTCTATGGTTTTGGTGTTTACCTACATGATTTCCATGGTTCTGGACACGTGACTCTCGGATCACAGCTTCGCGTTCAGCTGTAGGTTTCATGGCTTACCCTCAGCACCAATGGGACCGGCCTGGATGGGCCAGCGCATTCAGGACTTCATTACACGTGACCCTGATATGAATAGGTGCCTTGGCAGCTAACCCAGCTGACCCAGCGCTTCCTTTGCCAGTTGCTGGGAAAGGGGTGGGGGCTGTGCTCACTCCCCCTATGGTGTTTCACGTGCTATTTTAAATTTTGACTTTAGAGTCACTTGCCAGATCCTTGTGTATAAATCATAGGTTGGAAAGACTTTAATGGTTTCAAATTGATGGAGCAGACTCTCTTTTCTAAGTTTAGGATATTCACTGGATTCCGTTACAGCAATGAGCTCCCCGTGACCTGCTCACAGTGGAATGGCCCTTCCTGGAACTGTGCTTTGCCAATGTGTGCCAGGGGGTAGGTGTCCGTCTCACCAGGGAGGAGGCACACATGGTTGGCTGGCAGCCCCTCACAGACCATGCCACCCTGAGTCTCAGACCTCCCAGTCACACGTGAGTATGTGAGTACGAGTGTGTGTGTGTGTGTGTGTGTGTGTGTGTGTGTTCCCATGGGCAGCTCACCTGTCCTTCAGAGGGACTCTTGTGAATTCCAGCATCTACAAGAGTCTCAAGGGTCACATAGTGGAATACCAGGTTCCAGGGCAAACAGAAGTATTGACTCACTGGGCAGGGCAAGTGCTCCCGATGGCTTCTCAGACTGCACATGTGTCTGACCTGAGCCTCTCAAGATTCAATGCCTTCCCGAGGCAGTGGCTGGGTGAGCGGAGGGAAGGACCCCATGAGCCCAGGATTGCGTCCCCCCTTCCCATCCAACAGGAGAGTAGCAACAGCTCCCACCAGCACTGCCAGGCTCTGCCTTGATTTTGCCATGCCACGAGACCTAAAGACAAACCAAGGTCCTCCTGCTGGTCAGCTCCGCCCACCCCTCCTCCGTCTCCAGAGTGAAGCTGGCTCTGGCCTGAGTGTCCACTCAGTCTCTGAAGGCAAGCCTCTCTCCCACACAGTTCTTCTAGGTCTCTCCAAGCACTTCCCACTTCTCATTCTACAGAATCACAATTACAAAAGAAATGTCATTATAGCCTCCATCCATTCCTCACTTCAAGTCTGAGTTCCCAGCGGCAGCCATTGCAGAGTGCAGCGTTCAACCCCTTGCTCTCCAGAGTCCCAGGCGGGGGAACCTGGCCGCTGACTATTCCACGGAGGCTCAAAGGAGATGAAGCGCCCAGGACGGCTCCCACAGACCTGCTCTAGGTGCCCCAAGTACACCTGTCAGTGGCCAAACTATATCCATTCAGCTGAGCTGGCCAAGCCCTGCTTATTTGGATGTCCTTCATGCAGGAGAAAAAGGGCCCATGGCCCAAGGTGACCAATTATACTGAAGATCTTTGGAAGCTGGTGACCTCCCCATACCCTGGAGAATGCCCGTGTCTTCCCCTTCATACCCACACAGCAAACCCCATCCCACCCAGGAGCTCTGGGCACAGAGGAGCCTGTGTTCCTGCCCTGATCCAGGAGCGGGCACCTGGCACTCCCAACTTGAAACCACTACAAGGGTGAGAGCCGATTCGTCCCCTTTCCCTTACAACCCACTGGCTCCCTCCCTCCCTCAGTCCATTCTTGCCAAATGTGCTGGGCTCTGGGTGTAAAGTGGGGACAGTCCGGACACTGTCCCTGCCCTCATGGAGTATGCACAGACAAGAAGGTTGGTTGAAAAACCAGATGCCTGAACCTACCTCAGTGAAATTCTGGTTGACGCTCTGAGGAAGAGCGGGTAGGGACCGTGAGTCGGGAACAGGAGATCACGAGTGGCACCTGCTGACGCAGAGGCTCACTTGACTCAGGCCCTGACCCTTGGCTAGACCGTACTCCTGTCCTGCTCATGTGCCCATTTAGCCTGAGGGCACGACCACTAAGAGGAGACCCCAGAGCTGCCCACCACCCTCCTGGCCCAGGCAAGCAAGACCTCCTGTCACCACTTCAGGGGTCAAGAACACCTGGACCTGGGGTGAACTGACTCTCAGGACGCCCCCACAGAGCTGCATCCCCAACCTCCAGCTCCGGGTTCAATTTCAACCCCTGGGTGCGCTACAGCCCAGGACAGAGCCAGTTCAGAGGCACCAGTCAGAGCTCAAGCCAAGGCACCCAGCTGCTTCCCACAGGCACGACCATTCCAAACGGGAGGGGTCACCGTTCTTTTAGCAGAAGCGCCAACACCTGCTGGGGACCAACACAAGTCCCTCATGTCCATCATCTTGTCACCTGCCACACGGAAGACCTGGCCCCTCTGAAGCACCAGCTCCTTCAAGAGAGGCAGAGGGAGGAACAGGACTGGGAGAGAATCCGCACTCCCAGGGGGTTGACGTCCTCACCACTGACTTCTCTCGCAGCTCCAGGGCTGTGGCAGCCACCGGGGCAGTTTTGACAACAAATGCCAATGACAAGTGTGGGCAAGAAGCTCAAAGCAGGTCAACGTAAGATCCGGTGGGCTGTCTGCACACCAGGAAGAGAGGAAGGTGGCATTCTCCAAACGCAGCCTGTGTGGCAACAGAGGGCCACGGGTCGTGGAGACCCCGAGCGGCTGTGTGGGTGAGGACACTAGGAGACACACTGAGGTCAGACCTGGAGGCAGCTTCACCAGGAGATGGAAGGAAGGGGAGGGACCGAGCAGCACCCCAGATGGAGTATGACCAGCAGCAGCAGGCCCCTGCAGCCTGTGAGAAGGCAGCCGGCTCGCCCGAGATCTCCCGGGTCAGAAGCTGCCTTCTAACCTGGTTTCCAGGCAGTCAGGCAGCCCAGGTTTTCTGAAGTATCTGAATGTCCCAATATCAGCCAAGTCATCTGGAGCAAAGCTCTGCAAGGGATGGCGGGGCTGACATCGTGGAAAGGGGCTTTGGAGGAGCCCGGGAGGGAACTGCAGGCCACGGACCATCTTTGTGCAGTAGAAGGTGGGGTGTCTCATGGGCCATGATTAGTAGACCCAGCCACCTCTGTTTTAGGAAAGTGCTACCCTCAGGTCT